GTTCTCCCGCTGCTCTCGGTGTTCTCCCGCTGCCCTCGGGGCTCTCCCGCTGCCCTCGGGGCTCTCCCACTGCTCTCGGTGCTCTCCCGCTGCCCTCGGGTCCGGCCCGCGGAGTGCAGCACCCTCACAGGAGGGGCACACGCCCTTCTCGCTGGATTTGCGGTATCTTTCATCGCATCGTTTTGCCGCCGCCTTTAGCCCCCTCAGGGTTAGTTTCTCAAGCTCGTAACTGCCCAGAGCCGGGCCGGGAGCCGTCGAGCCGCCGGGGGAAGCGTGCAGCCTTTCCCGGGCTCCCCCGCCCTTTCGCTGTGGGGCACAAAGGGGTCAGTCTGGGGGAACTGGACCTGGATTTTGGGGCCCCGCCGGCACCCGACAGCTCCGTGCCCGCAAGCTGCCGGGGACCGGGCACACCGCACCTCGGCCCAGTGTCACCCCGGAGGAGTCGGGGCTGGCAGGAGGGGGGCGGGCTGGGTGCTCGGGGCCAATGCTGGGGCGGCGGGGGAAGCTTTGCGGGCGACCCCGAGAGTGAATCGCCGGTTTGCTCAGCCGCAGCCCCCTCTAGTGACATCGGCCCTCGCCCCTCTGCCCGCTCCCCGCGCCGGTTTTCCGCGGGTGCTCTCCCACTCAGGACGCCCCGCCGGTTTTCCGCGGGTGCCGCCCGCTCGGGAGCGGCGTGCGGGGATGTCCCGGGGGCTGCCAGCCTCCCTGCCCCGCGGCACCCCCGGGGAAACGCTCCCCGAGCCGCTCAGGGAACAGGGGCGCCTTCTCGGAGCGCAACTTTTCTGCACAACTCAGGAAATACCTCCCGTTATTTCAGTAGTGGAGCCAGGCAAAACTCTGCTGGCTCTCAGGCGCTAGATGGATGAGATCCTTGGGACTTGAGGCTGGGACTTAGGAGCTGATCCAAAGCCCATTAAAATGAGCAGAAAGCCTTTCAGTGCTGTCAAGGACGTTGGGATTAGGCCCTTAAAGCAGTTTGTTTGAACCACGAAAATCTCCTTCCACYGCCTGGGTTGAAAACTTCGTGGCAGTGGCCAGATTTCAGTGGCAGAAATCAGATTTCAGTCTATCTTCTTRTCAGTTTTGACAGGTGTTGCAGCAGTGGTGGGTGACCTTTGATACGAGCTTGCCATTTGAAAAGGATCTAGCATATTAAGCATTGATTGAAGAGAATTAATGGCTTTCRTATCCTGGTTCAATTAATGAAATTACCAGTATTGATAATAAATACTTGAATGCTAGTTGGGAATGGTTCTGTGATATTTCAGAATGTAGGTATGATGCTAAAGTGTGTGATTTGTTTAATCCAAATGAATGGTTGATTTTGCTTCTGAAAACTGCTTTTCTTATTGCAGCMTAGTAAAGAGGAAACTTGCTATTGGCTTTCCCACCCTTATTTTCCTGGAGTACTTTTCATACTGAACCAAAAAAGTGACTTCTTTTTGTTCCAAAAAGTAAAAAGAAAGTTCTTTATCATTTTAGAATTTGTGTTTATAAAGGCTCTAACATGCTCAGCAGTCAGAATGATCCAATGTTCTTTTGAATCCTAAATTTGATATGATACGGAGATGCAGAAGAAATACCAGTGGTCCTTTATGCAGCTGAACCTGAATAAAGTGCATCTTATAAAATTTCACAAATGAAAGAAATAGATCAGGAGAAAATAAAACCCAACAATAAAAAATGTTTTCTTTCCCACAAGCTGCGGAGTTTGTGCGGGCAATGTTTGCTCTGCCGGGCCCAATCCCTGGCAGCTCCCTCTGCCTTCAGCAGMAGCAGAACAGGRATCTAAACCCATCATTGCATCAGCTCTTCATTCCTGAAGAGGTTTTAATAACTTTGTAAAATCTGTAGGAATATTTTAGAGGTTTGAAATTTGGTCAAAATCAYCTTGAAATTGCCTGAGAAGTTAATCTTCTGAGTCTGACTCAGAGAAAAGAAGGATTTTATTATTTGTCTGSTAATTAATTAATTCTAAAATTCTTAGAG